TTAACATCGCCGGTTTGTGAGAGAGAGAGAGAGGAGGGAGGGTCATGGAGATTTCAGAGAAGAAGAGAGGAAAATGAGGATGAAGAAGAGTTTTTGGGTTATGTTTTAAAAACAAACCGACAGACACGGTCCGTCGGAATTTTGTGGGTTTGTTTTTAAGCGGTTAGCCAAAACGTTTTGCGAACCTTTTTTCTGGGTAAAATGAAAACTTCCGGTGGAATTCGGATGGAAATGTGACACTATTTTTGTCGGAATTCCGTCAAAAAATTTCTATGAATTTCCGATGATTTTAACATATTCTATGTATGTATTTTGATTGGTCACGGGTAGGGTTCGTCGGAATTGCATCAGAAATTTCAGACGAGTTTCTGAACGGAATTGATAATTAAGAATTTAAGGATTATAAACAACAATCTAATGATCAAATACAAATCTTTTCTAGTATCTAAATGGTTACAAGAGGTTTAACTAAAAAAAGTCATTTCACTCAATATTATACCAAATCAAAATCTAAACTTAGATTACTGTAATATTTTTGTATAAGTATATAAGTGTTAATGGAAGACGTTACGAATACGTTGATATGTATACGTAAATATTTTTTATGTGAAAAACTTTAATGGGTGTAAATTAATTTTGTATTATACACACACATATATATATATATATGTGTGTGTGTGTGTGTGTGTGTTATTTGGATATTTTAAGTATACAAATATACATTTATAATAAGTTTGAAAATATAAAACAGGTTTCGTCGGAAATTGGTCCATCGGAAAATTCAGACGAAATTCCGACCAACTTCCGACGGTAATCAGAAGGCCGTTGGAGTAGTATTCCAATGGATTTCTGACAAACTTTAAATCTCTATCGAAACCTCAAGTTTTAAATTGGCTGTCAGAATTTCGTCGGAATATTCCGATGGATATCCGACAAACTTCAAATCTCTATCGAAACATCAAATTTTAAATTGGCTGTCGGAATTTCATCAGAGTATTTCGACAAAACTCTGACAAATTTTTTTTATTTTTATTCCAACAACTTATAAAAACTTCCAATAACTTATTAAAAATAACTCCAACAACTTATTTCAAAACTCCAACCATTTATAAAAAACTCCAACAACTTATAAAAAATCCAATAACTTATAAAAATACTCCAATAACTTATAAAAATAATCCAATATCTTTTAAAATACTTCAATAACTTATAAAAACTTCTAATAACTTAATAAAAATAACTTCAACAACTTATTAAAAAAACCCCAACAACTTCTAAAAAACTCCAATAACTTATAAATATACTCTAATAATTTAGGATTCCGCCGGAACTGTCCGACAAAATTCCGACGGATGCTAAAAATCCGAACGGTCAAAAAATTATGTCAGAATTTCGTCAGAATTTTTCGACAAATGCTAAAAATATAACTAGTTTAATTGTCGTCTAACGGATATATTATTTCATCGAGTTTGTGTCGGAATATTGACGGAAGTTTCCAACAACGATATTTCGTCGGAAATTTCAGACGAAATATCGATGAAAATGAATTTATGTATTTTGTTGGTATCTCGTCGGAAATCCGTCAAATATAACCGACGAAGTTAATGTCCGTCGGAATATAACGTTTTTTGCAGTGTTTACACAGATTATTTGGCACTAAAGCAGCCTTTATTGGCTGAAGAAATATCAGATGGTGGGAGAACGGAGGCGGATTCAGAGTCCCTAGGGTCCTCTTACTCGGGAGAAGAAACCGAGAAGCTTGACATGCAGTATTTGAAGACCTTGTTGGATTTCATGGGTTGGAATGACAATTGTACCTAGAGATGGCAACTAGGCTCACCCGGCCTGTCCCGTCCCGGACCGCTGCGGGTTCGTCTTCTAGCAGGACGCGGTGGGTCTATCGCATGGGGGATGTGGTCTTGAAAACAGGTGCTCAATCCCGTACCGCATTTTTGTAGGCCTTCGCGGGCCATCCTGCGGGACATGTGATAACACGCACAGCATAACGATTCAGACCACTCCAAAACGCTTCAGGCCATTCTAGAACATAGTTCAAGTCGTCGATTCAACTGGACATAATTCATCAATCATTATTTTTCTTATTTTTTATTCATAATTGTAATTATTTGTATCACACTCAAAACTTATTAACATACAAAGTAAAAATAATTGCAGAAGATATTTTTCATTATTTTATAACTCATAAGGTTATAACCAATGTTTTAGTTTGCTGAATCCAAAAATTAAATTAAATGAAACACCAAATCAAAAATTTAATCACAAATTAAATAAAAAGAGAAACCAAATCAAAACACTACTAAAACTCGAATCATCATCGCCGGAGCTGTAGTCGTCATCACCGGAGGTCGAATCATTATCACAGAAGCTCGAATCATCATCATCGCCCGAGCTCCTTATATTTTCTTAGGGAAAGTCACATGAATCGTGTTCTTCTCACTCATTCTCTCGTTTCCAGATAAAACAAAAAAATAAAGAAAAAAATGTGGATCCTTGTAATTCCACGGGACCCGTTTCAGTCCATCCCGCAAAAGACCCAGTCCCGCAAAGACCTATCCCGCGAGGCGTATGGTGTAAAGGTACACGTACAAGGTTTGAAGCTCGTGTTTCTCACTCTTTTTTTAGCAAGATTTTACCATTTCCACTAAAGCTTTTGAAGTTTTTGAGGAGGACGGAGCTTCTAGCTTCGACCTCACAAGACGCAAGTCAATTTGTTAAGTTGCTAAGAATGTGTTTTTTATATTCAGAGCTTCTAGCTTTGGCTTCTCAAGACGCAAGCCAATTTGTAGTTTCTCCTAAACTAAAAATAAAGCAAAAATGAAGAAAAATATGAGAAATATAAAGAGCTCTAGCAAAGGTCTGAGAAACTTGCTCACTCCTATTGTTTATTTGTTCCTATTTTCAAATATAAAATTAAGTTTTTAAGAAATTCAAATAGAGTATTCTTTCCCACTCATGATGTCCTAACTGAACTCTTTGTACCAATATTGGTGTTCCCATTCAGACATTTCCTTTTAGGGATTGTGATATGTTCACATGAGAAGAAATTCTTTTTTGGGATAAAAGGATTATGAGATGATATGATACTTCTTTATTTCACAATCTTTTTAGCTGAAGGTTTTCTTATGTAATACCTAACGATTTTTTCTTTTTCAAACATTAAATTATTGTAGACAATAGCTATACCAATTCAAATCGTTAGGTATTACAAAACATTCAGATAAAAACTTTTTTATATAAAGAAAAAGTATCATATTATCTCACAATCCTTTCAATATAATTTAGTCAAATATGTTTGTATCGATGTCATTTTCTTATGTAGACTTATTTTTAAAATTCATATGATGTTATTTATGTTCACTGTTTTGTATTGTAAGAGTTTTGAATTGTAAACATGCGCAACAAGCATGCAATCGATTTGCTTGATACTGGTTGGCTAGCCACTTAAAGTTTAGTCTAGGCCTCGGCAGCCTGGATACTCCAGATTTAACCCCAAAAAAAAAGTATGCATATAAATATAGCTTATAGATAAATATTTGAAAATCATAATCAAAATTTATTTTCATAAAATATCAAATGTATTGATTAATCATGGCAAAAACTGTTGTACGTACAAATAAAAAAATATGAGAAAAGAAACTAATTCAAGTGAAGAACAAATGAAAAGAACATGCCGCTTAAAACGGGGAAGCCTCAAGCCATCGATGTAAACCTTCTAGCATGTGAGGATATATGTAACCAAGCGACATGATGATGTTACGAATCATCTTATCAGTCAGTCTCGTAGTAATGTTCATTGCTTTCCAATTCCGTTGATGATTACTTCCATTTTTTTCTCTCCATAAATTAGGATCCAGTAATTTGGACAACAATATCTACCAAGACCAGACCCCGTCTCTAAAGGTGTGCACAAAGAACATTTGCACATAGCCCAAAAAATTAGGCAATTTTGTTACAATTTAGGCTATTTTTAAAAACATTTGAGTTTTTTTTTCAAACATTCTAATGTATTCTTATAATATATGCACAGAACCCATTATATAAGAGAATTTTGCTATACTAGAACATAAAAACAACTATATTGTCCCTTTTGTCATAAATCTCTTTTTGGTATGTTTTGGACTTAAGATACTTTTGACCTATTACAAAAATTCATATAAATTATTTCAAGAGTGTATATAAACAACAAACAAGTATATGAATTTTTTTTGGGAAATTTGCCAAAAGAGTACCGAAAAACACAACTATTGTCCCCTTAGAATAAAATCAAATTTTGGCACTTTTGGACTTTCACTACCCTTTTTGTATATAAAAATTCATAAAAATAAATTTACAAGGTAAAAATTGAGGAAAAATATACAATATGAAATAGAGTAGCATGTGAATATATGAAAAATATTTTTAGATTCGAAAAATGTTTGGAATAGTAATTTCAAATATTGGATAAATGGGGTAGTAAATCAGATCTACCATCTACGACTATTTAGAGTGTACAATCTACTAACAACTAATTGATCTAAAGGGTTTAGAATGCGTAATACACCAAAAACATATACATCTACGATTGAAGAATATAATAACTGCCATTCCTTCTTTGTTATGGAGTTTTACTAGAACATAACATATACTAAAGATCCACGCGTCCACATTGACAGAACATATCTTCTTAATTTTACTGTTTTATCTGGGCCCGTGGGATTACGTATCTACTGGTTAAACTAATGGGAAGTTTGGTAGAATGTATCTTTTACCAACGGTTTTTGAGCCACCATCCGAAAATCTAGCAAAATCTGAAAGTAAATATTCTCTAAATATTTTTATTTCCTTTTTAATATAATTTACCTTGAACGAGGGTCTTTTTCTTCTTCTCACCGTGACAAAACCTCTTCTTTTCTTCTAGTTTTCCACTTCCAAGCTATTATCTATCTAACAATGAAGATGCAGCGCAGACAATCGCTAAGCTTCAAGCAGAGATAAGGAAAATGCGCACTGCGAAACTGGATGATGGAGATGATGTCATAGCTCCTAACAAGAGTGTAAGTGCCAACCTCAAGGAAGAGATAATAAGGCTCCATTCACAAGGAAGCACAATAGCAAATCTAGAGGAGGAACTTGATAAGATGGTGATGTCACTTCCAAGCAACATCAATGGTGGAGATGAAACCCCAAAGATCAAGAATCATCATCATCATCATCACTCAAAGAAGAAGAAGGTTCTTCCATTAACGCCAAGCAGCTTATCCAGTCGCCAGAGTTTCTTGAAATCTTCGTGCTCTCCTCTCTCAGCTTCCAAGCAAGTCTTGGACTGTGGTGCTGAGAACAAATCTTCTCAAGAGAACTACAACAATTCTGCAACTAAGCCACAAGGATCTGAGAAAGAGACTCCAATGAAAGGGGAAGGGAGCGGAGATGTGTCGTCAAGAGAAAGCACTCCAGGTTACAAGAGATCAAGCTCAGTGAACATGAACCTGTAGTATCTCTATCATCAAGGTACACACAAATACATAAGTGAATATTATCTGACATAATTCATTTCAGTGTAACATTTGTTTATTTCAATGTGTTGTTGATGCAGTAGAAGAGCTTTGAGAAGAGAGAGGGAGTTTTTGGCGAGAAGGATCAACTCGAGACTGACGCCTGAGGAGAGAGAGGAGTTGTACATGAAATGGGACGTGCCAGTGGAAGGGAAACTGAGGAAGCTCCAGTTCGTGAACAAGCTATAGACTGATCCTTACGACTCAAGGCACGTGCAGGAGAGTGCTGAGATAGTTGCGAAGATTGTTGGGTTCTGTGAGAGTGGTAACATCTCTAAAGAGATGTTTGAGCTCAACTTCGCTACGCCTTCTGATAAAAGGCTGTGGAATATTGGTTGGGACAACATTTCTAATCTTCTTCATCTGTAAAATGTTCACATAAGAGTACTCCTAAGTTATATCATTGTGTTTGTGTTTGTAATACTAGATTCCTTGTTAAATTTGACTCTATAAAATTGAACACTATTGTACTGAACTAAAGAAAAAAGCTTTGAATATTGTATATCTGAAATTCAATCTCTGAAGGTGCAAGACAAAACTGAGTTAAATCTCTGAAACCTGAAACATTGTGCAAGGACATGCCCTTATTTTCTAAGGAACACTGTAATATTGGAGCATGAGTGTAACCAAAAGCTATGATAAATAATGACAATAACTGAACAAATATTCAATCAAAACAAGCTTCACTCTCTTCTATGTTTAAAAAGTGTGATTCTAATTTTCCCTTTCCATGTGCTCAGGTGATGAACTGTATGAGAATCAAAGAAAGGAAACAGCTAAACAATTCGCCGTAATGGCATTGGTTTTACGTATGCCTGTCGAAGAACTTCTCTATCAGTACAGAGAAAGTTGCAAAGCCCGCACAACCTATACACGCAGCTTTTGGCCCGCCTGAAACAAAATCAAATCCAACAATCCCTCAGAGACCTAATAAATCATGAATGCAAATTTGCTAAGAGGTTTAAATTACTTCCAACAGAACAAAATATTTCTTGAAAAGAGAGCATGTGAATGTTAAAGGAACAAAAGCACCTACGAGACTTCAGTTTGAGAATCAATCAGACCATTACAAAACCTCTTAACGTTGTAAAAAGTCCACATAGAAAAAATAGACATTAATTACCTCTGGCAGACATCGAGCCACTGGTCACACATCTAGCAAAAGCGGTGTTGGTTGTGTCATGCTTCGCCCTTGCCTTTTTTAATGAGAAGTAAATCGACAGTAAGGACTTGAAGTAATGATCCAAGAGTTCACAAAATAATAATATATTTACCTTCTCGATAATGCATTCAGCAGCGTAGAAAACCAAACCCATAACAGCAAAAGTTTTGCAAGAACTCCAACTCCTTTGCCCCATTTGTTTAGCAGTGAAAATAAACTGCTGCTTACCAGTCATGGTATCATGCATTATAGGATAATCTAATGCTCCCAAGAACAAACCCATCATCAACCCAAGCCCTCCTCCTACACATAACTCAATAGACAATGTGAACAAAAACCAAATCAATATCCTCACAAAGAAAATAAATCTATTATCAACGAGCAAACATTAGTAGCTTTATGTCAGAAATGTATAATATTTTCGATTCAACAATTAACCTAAACTTGATATTCTCTGCAAGTGTTCCATTAATGAGCTCAGAAACATGAATACTAGTAGAAAGCTACGCACTTTCTACAAATCTATTACCAACGAAAAAACATCAGTAGCTTTACGTCAGAAATGTACAATACATTCAAATCGATTCAACAACTAACCAAACCAAATCCGACTAAACTTCCTATTAGCTCTAAACTTCCTTCGATTTTGGAAAAAGATGAACCGAGATGAAAATTGATCTCCAACTTGCTCTTAATCAGTGATGAAAGCTTCGTCCGCCTCTTCCCTATACCGATTTACAGTTTCAAAGAGAACAATATCACTTAGAGTTCATCCCAGAAAATAAGCTCAGAGAAAACAAGAGAGGATGTAAAAGAAAATACCAGAGGAAAGAGGAAAGAGGAAGGAGGAAGAAGGAAGGAGGAAGGATTCGCCGGAGAGAACACGACGGAGGACACACGGGAATCGGAGCCGGAGAGAACACGAGGGGAGTTGGATTTTTCCATTTAGGGATTTTGACCCCTTTTGACTAAACATATGTATACCGATTTTGTATATGTATGTTTACCTTTTTTAATTAGTATTTGTATTTTTTTTTTAATTCTATTCAGAAATTTAAAAAATTTAAATACTAAGGACTAAATTGAATTATCATTATAGTTTATTCTAAGGGGACATAAATCATGAAATTTATACTAAGGGGACAATAGTTGTGTGTTTTTAGTTCCTTTTTCGCAAATTTCTCATTTTTTTTTGGTTGAGTAATTATTTGTATAGCACTATTTCATTTTTTGATCTACGGATAGCAGAAAATTCAATCTACTGTCTACGAGTTCGTAGATTATAGTTTCAGATAACTATCTCAGACTGTAATATCTATTAATGGTAAATATTCTACACCGCTGCAGAATGAATTATCTGCCATTTTCCCTACAATCTAAACTACGGTAAATTTGGTGGACCATTGTTTAATATTATATCTACTAATGCAAAAACATAAAATATGCATATATATATATATATATATATATATATATATATATATATATATATATCAATACTCTATGACAGTGTGATCTACCTCAATAATATGTTCCACATCAACAAGATTATATAATTTACCAGTTTACCCTCTGTTTGCGGACGGCATAATTTGTATTCTGCCAAATTCGTGATCATAATATTCCTTAAATCTCTGCAAATCAGTTAAAAAGGATATTTTATAAATTTTAATTTTGCAAAATTTTGTGTTTCTTCAGCAAATTTTTTTTTTAAGTGTGGCTTCTTTTGTTCTTCCCTTGTGTTTTTTTTACAAAAATTGTTGCTTCTTTTTTTTTTCTTTTGTGTCTAGATTTACCTTGATGGAACCCTAATAGCCGTGATAGAACCCATGTCACTTTTTTCGCGTGTTTAATTTCCCTTTTAACGACAAATGAAACTGAATCTCATGTTTAAAGGGTGGGTGGGTTTGGGTGTTGGATCAGGTTTTATGCATTTCAGGTGGGTTTTGTTGGGTCTATACCGTAAAAGGTTATAGTAACGAAATCCATTGTATTTACTAGACAACAAACTCTAATATGTACGAGAACACCAAACTCTAAAACCCAAAAATCTAAGACTCATCGAAAATATTTGTTCTTGTTAAACAATAGACTATAACTTGTTAAACATAAATTTTAATTTCTAAAAAGATGAAATCAAACTTGTTAAACGTTAAACTTAACTTGTTAAAATTATGTGATTTAGGGTTTAAGGTTTGAATCCTATCTTATTTAGGGTTTAGGGTTTTAACCCTATGTTATATAGGGGTTCGGGTTTGAACCCTATGTGAGTCTATATTTATACGATTTATTACAACAATGTATCAATAAAACAATAGAACTCATACAATTTAAATCCTAACTCGATGAACTCATAAATTGAATCCAAAATATGAACCTAACAATGTGTTCATAAAGCAAAAATTAAGCACTTAAGCCTTTGAGAATAATGAGAAATCAAAACAGTGGAAAACACAAACCTGCTTCGCGAAATTTCCATCAAACATTTCAATGAGGACAAGTCACAAAACCAAGCAAAATTCAATGAACTTAAAATTTTATCTTGGATACTTGAGCCCGACTTTAAAAAGTGTGTAAACACTACATTAAGATAAACCAAAAGATTATTAAGCTACTCAACAAAGTTCAATATTTTCTTACAAAACCATTACAAGGAAATAATAAAGACTGTTTTGAACCATTTGATACTAAACAAATCAATAGAATATTAAATTGTTAATCAATAATCTAGCTTTTAACATGTTACTACATTGAAAAAACAACCTGAAACTATGTCCGAGATTGTGGTTTCCAGCTTTCCTAACAGAGCTCCCATGTTCTGTAGTCTCTTGTTATGGTTTGATAGATTCAGTACATGGAGTTGGCAGCTAGAGTCTTGATGAGCCAACTCTACACCTTACCTGGAGATTTCAATCAGCTATAAAAAATTACGAACAAATGTCAGTTCATCATTCAACTTACTCATGAGATCAAACCCACAATAAGTAAAGCCGAAGCTGTGATTCTTTGGTGATAAAAATGGTCTATGTATCGACCGTTTGATAGGATGCAATTCTGATTTGGCCAGCGTCAGTTCATCATTCAACTTACTTGATGTTTCTGAAATTAGTGGGATTCATGTACATGAAACTGAGAAAAGATGAATTCAATCTATGGTTTATTAGACACAAATCAGGAAACCCGTAAACGTAAGAGAAAGAGAAGAAGGAAAGGCACATGTTACCAGTGACATGTCTGAATTTTAAGTTATGATATTGCATGCAAGGAGGAGGTGATGTGATGATCAAAGTTAGTAGCCAGCAATGTAGGCCACACCGCCGGAGAGACTAGTTGAGATTCTTCAAGTTCACGAGAGGCATAAGGAATATGGTTAGGAAATTTACAAGCCCCTTTCAAAGTCGATGTAGGAGAGGAAAGAGACACTTCTCTTGTACCGATGTCCATCAAAGTAGGAGCAGATTCATCAGCTAGAGCTTCCGAAATCACCGACATAACAACTGTTTTTGTCTTCTTCAAATCCGGTTCAGTTGACACCTTAACGGAAGGCACATCAACCACAAGTAATGAACATGCAGAGGCATGAGGAGAGCTCCTGCTTCATATGTCCAGAAGCGGCCACCTTGGATCCAGTCAGACAGAGACCTTGTCTCCGTAGGTAAGCCTTTTCTCGGCAGAAGTAGGAGGTGAAACTTGAGAAACCTGCCCGCAAAAAAGAGGGAAGGGATTTCTGGAAAATCCATGCCGGCCAAACGAAGGAAAAGAGGATGGCTGGCTCGCCTTGTGGCATGTATGCAACCGGCAACGTCTCCACACGATGGAATCGTCGACTGAATAAGGAATTTGATTAAGGCCTGACCAAGACGGCATATATATGTGAAAACCAGTGGTTTCTAAGGAAAGAAGGGTGATAATCCAGTCCGGATTAATAGTCATTCCAAGTTTACTCATAACTCCTCTCCACACTATGAACATATACCAGCAAGTGAAAAAAAGATGATCTCGAGTCTCATTTTTTCCCTAGAGAAATTACAGTATTGTTACTGACCCCATAACTTCATCCTATCTCTAATGGATAGCCGATTATAGACAGTAAGCCAAGTGATAAATAAGAACCGAGGAACTCTTGGTGGAAGCCACACCGTTCTACTTCAGCTAACCGTAGCTCTGGTAGTCATATCTTTTCTCAAGTTCTACAAGAATTATCATCTGAATGTTTCTAAAGTAGCATCACATCCCTGATCCAACCGAAGAAGTTGCTCTAGGCATATACAATCAAACCTCTGATGATACCAGCTGCGGTTCCGAATATACCATACGTAGTCCAAACTTATGTATCTGAACACAACTATAATTCTTAACAATAGTTTAGACATTGATGATTAAATATAATACATAGATAATTAAAAGTTTTAATCTATTATAAACTTCGATATAATGAGATAGAGGTGTTGGTTCACTCGGATGAAGATACGGTTGTGGGAGGATTTGATCCAGATGTTTTCGGCTCTGGGCCCTGGTCTAAGGGTCGGTGTGTGTGTTTGGTGATATTCGGCGTGGTCCTAGCTTTGCATCGTGGATAGGAGGTTCAGGTGAGTTCGGTTATGTTAAATCCTTTTTGGCGCTTGTTCGTCTGGCTGATTGTGGTCTTTTGCTAGACATCTGGTTGTCTCAGGCCTCGACTTTGTTATCTTTGATCTTTTAAGATGTGTAGAAGAGTCTCGTTCTAGGAATTTGGCTTAAGTATTTAAATTATGTTTCAGTTCTTTGATGTCCTTGTTATGGGTTTTAGTTTTCCATGTTTGGGATGTATTTCTAGGGATTTCAACGTGTTCTGCTGATTTTGGTATAACAATCTGTATTTTATCCAGTGTTTAATATAACTCAGTTGACGAAAAAAATTTTCGATGTCTAATATTCCTAACAATATTTTTCTCTATATTTACATATTATACCAATGCTTATTTAATAATTAATATCAATGTTTCAAATAATAATTACCACAATTTTATATTTTTCGTGTATATAAAACACCAACTTCCTTATAAAAAAAAAAGAGTAGAGTACAAAATTTTATCTTTTCTCACGGAGTGGACAGGGAAACGGTGTCTCTAGTCCGAGCGCGAGTCTCATATCCTTTTACACGTATATAAAGCACCAGGGTCTCAACACAAACTTAATTCTTTGTGACGATCTAAACAAGGAGATAAAACCATTTTGCATACCTTTTTTTATGGAAAAGCCACTGACGTGATAATCCAATAATCTTGTTCCTGTTAAAATGTATAATATCTACCAAATCATTATTTATCCTAGAATATCCAAAATATTACGGGTGTTCGATTACACATCATCCATGTGAGGTTGAATGATTGGAAGTTTCATGTTGTTGATAACGCATTTTCCATGTGAACGTGAATGATTAGAAGAAGTTCCAAGCTGTTTTCATCCTAACTCCCAACATCGCAGTTTGTCTTCAGCAAATAAATCAATTATGTGAAATTCCCTCATCCAAACATTATACAAATTTATAACAAAGATACCTTCTACTTAAACTGAAACGGATAGTCAAAAATAAATATTGAAAACTAAATAGTAATTAGCTTTCACGATGATAATGAGAAATTATCAAAACTATCATTTTTTAGTATTTTTTCATCTTTACTTTAACCACATTTACCTTTGGTTGTAAAAAATTAAATAGACATTTATTATTATAGGATTTAACTAATATAGATTTAATATTTAGATTAAACATGAATAATTGCATCAAAATGGAAGGTAAAATTGAAAATTTTCCAATAATAACTAAAATACTTAGGTACATTCATATGTTTTTTTTTATAATAAAGATTGTCACTAGAGAGATATACCTAAAACTATTTTATAACTATTTTTTTGTTAACCAAAACTATTTTATAATTATAGACATTTATCGTTACATAGAC